GTAACAAAAAACACATACATATCGTAATTATAAAATGCATTAGGATTGAAAAAATAACTTAAAATGCAATATCACAGATGAAGAAACACGTGTTCCAATGCTTAAACATGATAATTGTAAGATTAGTTAATACCTAATGAATGAATGTTACGGCCTTGGTTAAAATTTGCACATTAAGATACTCGTAGATAAGATGCGAGTTGAAGGACTTAATAAAATGCTTGATTATTATAGATTAAATTGTGAGAAATAACTTAGAACATAGCTCTAACATGTGGGAAATATCATATAAGGATAACTAAATATATGTACATATTTCAACGTCAATTTCGTTAGCAACTGTACGTGTTTTATATAAACAAATTCAAAGAGACCCTGTTATTTAGAGAGTTTCTACTAGTAAAGTCTCATGGCTGCAAATTTAGGAGGAAACAATACAATCGTTTTGTTTTTACTGCTATAACGAATGGGTTTATGGAGGAAAATTTGAGTTGTTAGGAAAGACTTTGTGACGAATGCTCAATATTATCTTTATGGTATAATTTCCCAACAAAAATTAAAAAATATTTTTTTTAAACATGCAACGTTCATTGCTTCACGTCTGCTTACTTTACAAGAACACAAAGTACAAGCATTATTTTATTTTATTTATTGTAGACAAGGAAAAGTATACAAAAAAAGTTACTCTTCAAATAATATAATCTAAGTGACAAGAAAGTTTGGTAACACACACACACATATACATATAGATTATATCATAAAATTTATTGGAAAGAAACAAATGCAGGAATTCTATACACTTATCATAAGCACTATTAATTTTTTATTTTTCATTCTTTCAGTTTTCATTAAAAATATTATCATTAGATATATTAATATATGTAATATATTAATTTGTATTTTCCATTTTACGCGTTATTGGCGAAGCAATCTGTGCTCAACTGGCACGCTTTGAGGCCATTAACAAGATAATTGTTATGAATTATTTAATTTATTTCGTACAAACAAAAATATCCGTATTAATATTATTATAAATGTGAGAGTTTGTAAGTATAGATGTTTGCTACTCTTTCACGACAGAACGGCTGAACGGATCTGGATGAAATTTGGCACACATAGATTATAATCTAGAATAACACAAGAGGCTACTTTTTATCCCGGAAAAATGTACGGTTCCCGTGGAATAGGTCTGTTTTTGTATTCCTAGAAGCGAACCCGAGCGAAGCGAGGGTGAGCCGCTAGTCTAAATATAAAACTAGAAAACATTGAAAAGAAGATACATAGTTCCGGTTATTAAAGACTCGTTTGTACCAGGGACCGGTATGCGTGTTTATAACGTTTAACCAACTCGGGTCGTAAATACACAAAATTATAGCGAGTTTCACCGTCGATTTGTCAAATCCCGATTTAATTATGTAAAAGTATATATATATATATATATATATATATATATATATATATATATATATATATATATAATTTAAAAATAAAAAATATTTTACCTTTAGATACAAAACCTGATTAAAAACTTCTGATATTTCGTGTCAAGATAAAATGAAAGTAAACAAACGATACGATATTTTTATAAAGCATTATTTTAAGTGTGTTACTCGTACTTCAAAGTTAATATATTCATATAAAAAATAACAGCGTTCCGATTTTACATTATACAATTTGATATTTAAAACAATAGTTTTCTTTTAAATATTTTTTAACTTTACATGATACATATAAAACAAGCGACTCACTCTCGGTTCGCTTTATTTCGGGTTCGTCTCTAGACAAATACAATCCCACGGGAACCTTACACTTTTCCGGGATAAAAAGTAACCTATGTGTTATTCTAGATTATAATCTATCGCTGTGCCAAATTTTATCAAGATCCGTTCAGCCGTTCTGGCGTGAAAGAGTAACAAACATCCATCCATGCATCCTCACAAACTTTCACATTTATAATATTAGTATGGATATTGTATTAACTGCTTATGACGATGTCTGCTTCGCACATATCAATTTTAGTATATTGTTGTCACTCTACGTATCTACATCTACCATTCAGACAAAGAGAGACAATAGCATTCCCAAGGAGGGTTGACGTCAGGCAGGCGGCCGGTCGTAAAACTTTTGCCAAATCCTTTTAGCAGTACAGAAGATGTACTGTGCCGACCCTAAGTGATTGGGAGATGGGCAGGGAGAAGAAGTTGTCACTCTACGTACCTACTTGCTACAGTTCAGCGTTTTTATTCACGTGTATGGTTTACAGCTTCCTGCTTGAGTCTTTCGAACAAAATACTATATAGCATATGAACTTTCAAGGAATGAACTATATTGACTGCAAAAATATTTTTTAAATCAACCTAGAACTTCTTGAAACTAACCAAATAATTAACAGAATCTAAAAAAACAGCTAGAACAAAAAATACAAAATCTTTACCTATATGAAAATAGGAAATTCAAAATCGTCAGACTAAAACAACTAGTCCTTGTACAGCCATCATTATGCCTTACGTGACAAGTATCTACTCGTAGGAACAATAAAAGGACCAGAAAGCGTCTACGTGTCAAGTAACGCAGGCTTCGTATGAACTCACAAAACACAAAACTAAAACTAGAATGTGAAAAATATACGCTCACTTACTGAGAAAAATAAGATTTACTTACAACTTTAAAATGAAGTCGGTTGAAAATGTTTAAAAAAGATCAATTGATCCGTCGAAGAGATGGTTAGTAAACATAATGGCGATGAATCTATTCTAATATTATAAAGAGGAAACATTTATTTCTTTGTTTGTTTGTTTGTATCGAATAGGCTCCGAAACCACTAAACCGATTTACATGAAACTTGGTAAGAAGATAATTTAAGACCCTGGGAAGGACATACAAACAACAGTAAAGACTGTCAAAAGCCACTGAATAAACTAAAAAAAAAGGATATCAGTTCAGAAACAGGAGAAAAAGGTACTGGACTGATTTGTCTTAGCCTATTTATGTTTTTATATAGACTGTAAGAAAAAATGCAAATATAATATAAATAATACTTTTACGTTAAAACTAACTAGTACTTATATGTATGTATGAACTTATAAATCTATCAAGTGTAACAACATTAATTAACCTTGTATTTTAGTGGTCGACTGCGATAAGGAGCTTGACACTGTTGTGATAAGTCAAACTCCCGTATTTAATTATGACTTATGTTTGTATCAATAAAGCCAATTTGAGCCAAAAAATTAGATTGATTTCAAGATATATTCGTTGAAAAATTATATATAATATACTTAAAAATGGATTTTTTATCCAAACTTAATATTATAAATGTGAAAGTGTGTTTGTTTCGCTGTTTATTAGTTTGTCCTTCTTTCACGTCGACACAAGTTTTTTTTGTGTTGAAGACAATTGGTGGGCTAGAGAGAGACTTTTTACCGCGGGAGATTATCTTATTCCCACGGTAAAACACGTTAAAATAAAACCTACAACAACTCATCATACCCATTGTATAGATAGATACATACAGTCTATCTATACCATACTAACCGTTAAAACGTACCTAGGGACGAACCCGAGCGAAGCGAGGGTGAACGCTAGTTGAATATACCTATGTATATCTACACATATGTGACCACTCTTGAAGTTATAGCAGTCTTTGAAGATTCAAGGTCACAATCTTACATTCCTCCTTTTTAAAGTTGGTTATAAGTATGACTAACACACAATAACCATATTTAATGATTTTTACGTGAAAAAGTACTGTCATTAATAAATTACTAACAAAATTCTAAAAAGAAGGAAAGTAACATTAATCACGTCACATCAACTTTTCCCACCAAGAGAATTGTTATACGATGTTCCATTAAATTTCTCGTGGGAGCTCTTAATATTTGTAATATTTTTTCCGTGTGAAATTTAATCGAGATTATTCCAACGGATTTGAAAGGTAAATGTAACAAACAAGATGGCGGTTAAAGACACAATCTCATATATAATATAGTAAGAACAAGGGCTAATCATGCAAAACAAGTTCATCATAACAATTTTTACTACTTTAATTTAAGTTTTATAGTGCGATAGTGCGAAACAAACATCTTCAACATTATTTATATTTATTTATAATAAACCCAGTAAAAAAATCTACTAGAGGAAAAAATCATATCAAAAGCTCAGTTAATTGCTTTCATTTAATTTCATGATTAATTAACTACCTCAAAGGTTTAATATGCCGTGTAATTAGTCAGAATTTAATTAATATATAATTTTAGCGCAGTAAATCATACCACCCATGTAATGACCAGCGCTAAATGTATTAACTTAGTCTTAACACCACATTGGATCATAAGAGATTCCATAAAGACATTCTTCAACTGATAGATTTATTAAGCACCTAAATTAAATTTCGTTTTACGATCGTCTTTAAGCCCATATATCGAGCACCTAAATTTAGGGGGCCTTTTAATATTGAGGTGACCCCTAACTGTCGGTGAAACAGAAACTGTCCCCTAACAGCCCCCTAACCATGCTTAGGGGATCCTTTAAACTTAGGTGACGGTGGTGAAATCGGCCATAAGAGTGTTAAAAGTTACGTTAATATCAAATAGACGTTATGGAAAACCGTGCATAATATCTAAGAAAGAATAAAACTTCGCTAAAATATAACATTGTTAAGTTTTTCTTCGTTTACTAACGACTTTAGCTTCGCTTCGCTCGGGTAAAAATGCTCTTTAGTTAAAATTTATAACTAACTGTAGCCTATGTGTTCCTCTAAGTCATAGTTTATTTGTGTATTAAGCTTCATCCAAATTCCTCCAGCCTTTCCAGCGTTAAGGAGTAAAGTTACACTAACACACACACACACACACACAACACACACACACACACACACACACACACACACACACACACACACACACACACACACACACACACACACGCACACAAACTTACGTAATTATAACAGTCGTTCTATAATCTGATAAAAATCTAATTTTATAAGCTATTTAATTTACCTGGACCCGCCCGCGCCCGCGAGGGACAGTAGCGAGGAGCATCGGGAGCAGACGGAAGGCGCGCGCAGTCGGTTGTGAGCTCTGATCGGTTCCGGGGCTTTCTCTCTATCCGTTAGCGCTAAGACCGTCGAGCATTTTCTTAGACCTGTAAAATAAAAAAAATTAAGTATACCAAATCTATTACTGCAAATTAGAAACTATTGCCACATACTTATTGAAAGAAAATGAACAAGTCCTGAGAAAAATTGGCGAAAATACCTACTTGTAAAAAAACAGTAGGGCTCTTGAATTTTCTTTATATTTTCCTTATATAAATTGCTTATATGACTAAAGTAAAAAGGTAATGATTTGAGGCTACTCTTAAAGTTGGTCTTCTTGTCTATATTTAATATATTAAATGTAGGGGAAGCGACAAACATTCATTAAACTTAATAAAAATGTTGACCATGACCTCCATCCTATAAATATAAAAAAAATGTATGAAGACGTCTGGATATCTATTAATCAATTACACATAAACCGTTGAACGAATGTAAATGAAAGTTAGCACACAACACTATTATTGTATTTTTAGTGTAATCTAATTTTGGCCTTATTGTAACTCTGCTTTGTGTACAATGTCAATCTTAATTAATACTGTATCGCTGTTTGATTACCAAATCTATACATATAATAAAATTCTAACTGAGTCAAATCTGTCCATTAAATATTTTTTGGAAAATCTTATTGAAACAGACATTATTATCGATACAGAGGCCGAATCTATAGTTTTTAGAATTTTTGTCTGTCTGTTACCGCATCACGAGAAAGCCGCTGGACAGATTTCGATGAAATTTGGTATAATGATAGCTAGTTATCCGGGTCAACATATAGGAAACTTTTTACCGCGGGAAAATATCTCATTTCTGAGTAAAAATACAAAAACTGCATTGTAAGAGTATACTAATATGTAAAACCTCAGAATTTGGTTTTTAGTCATCTGAACGCGGGCAGAGCCGCGGGCAATGCTAGTATGTATATAAAAGAAAAGTTCCATACAAATAAGTGTCTAGCAAGTGAGTACAGAACTACATACTACCTACTAAGCATAGTACAATTCGTCGAAACGCCGAAGGATTATTCTAATATGATAATATAAGTAAATTTTCGAAAGTAATACACAAAGTGAAAGCGGTGAGAGGTCATATTTTATTGTTTAGAAGTTTTAATGTACGGACGTACTGGCTTTTTTTTAACGTTTGCCTAATTTCATTCCTTTTTATGGTATAATAACGTTTTTCAGGAACATTTTGTATGAGGAAAGCAAGGTAAAGATCGTTGTGGAGAACACTTGGGAGGCCTATGACGGATAGCAAGACAATGAAGAAACCGGTGTCTAAGATAAAAATAATTCTTTATATTTACTTTTACAAACAAAAATTTCTGTTTAATATTAAGTAGTAATAAGGTGAAATGTAACTTATAAGATTGTTAATAAAGGCTCTTATTATTTATTATTATAACGTTTTTCTATTATTCCAAGTAGGTACTAACGCAGACTTTTAAACGGTATTCTAATGTATATTTATAAGTCAACAAACAACACTTCATTAGCACCGAGACACGATATATTATTATATCTATATGAGCTCAAAGTTCGACTACCAGCTTAATTTGCTTTTTATCTTTAAGTCACGAGTTTCAATCTCATTATATATGAATTACTAGCCGAACCCGCGCCTTCGCTCGCGCTAACGCTACAAAAAAAAACTAAAAATAAGTAGGTTTCATACAAACTTTCATCCCCTGTCTCTGTGTCCCCTTATGGGATTAATTTCGAATAATGCTAAAACACGTATTTATTTAATTATATTTATACCAAGTTTCAAGTAATTTTGATCATAAGTAATTTTTTGGGTTGTATTATAACGTGTTTTCCTATGGGAATTACATAATCTCACGCAGTTAAAGTAGCCTATGTTACTCTCCTGGTCTCCAACTATCTCCACACAAAAAATCACGCCAATCCGTCACTCTGTTTCGACGTGAAAGAAAGACAAACAAACAAACAAACAAACAAACAAACAAACAAACAAACAAACAAACAAACAAACAAACACACTTTCACATTTATAATATTAAGTACGGAAGTACGGATTTGCAATACACGTCCTGAAAAAAGTCCGTATAATTTTAAATTCATACACAACAGTACCAGTTATTTGGCCAATGTCATGTTGTATTAAAAAAAATACAATGGAGCTTGATTAGTTTTTTATATTAAAAACATTTGTGACAATATAATTACTGTTGAGGTTATGTAAAGTTTAGTAATAAAAAAAATTGGCAATTATTAAATCCAATAATTAAAATGTATTATTTCCATAAGGCCAAAATAAATTGAATAAATTTAAAAAAAACGATTCATTGTTCGTAAATAATTACATCCTGTTATGTTCACAGTGGTGACAATTTATCGTGACAGCGAATTTAAAATACTTTTCTAAATCACTGTGTGCATGCATGTGTGCGCGTGCGTGCATGCGCGTGTGTGTGTGAGTGAGAGTGTGTGTGAGTGAGAGTGTGAGTGCGAGTGAGCGTGAGAGTGCGAGTGAGAGTGCGAGTGCGAGTAGACTATAACCTGGGGTAGCACATAGGTACTATTAGGCGCTTAGGAACGAAACCGAAAGTTACCTTATATGGCTTATATGTTTGCTTTCACTTATACCTAACTTTATTATGTAATCAAATCTTGTAAGTCGATTTAAGCATACTTCTAATAATCTCCATATCGATTTCTAATTTGGTAATTATTTTAAATTGGATTTGACAATAAAACAATTTGATACCATCGAGTGTATCTGATGATGGAACAGAGGTAGATAGAGCAGCTCGAGTAACCTTACCTAGAGTTGAATCTCATTTGATTTTCTTTGACAACTCCCATACAATATACATTATTGTAGGTCATAACGGAATCTTTGTTGCCTTTAAAACTATAATTATTAGGAACATAAAATATATAGAATAACGCATGTAAGATAAATCATCGTTTTTAGATAGCAATTACTGCAATATCTATTCGGTCACGGTGAGATTTTTCTCATCTTTAGTAACTTTTAAAACGTTGAGTTCCAAATGAACAAAGATTAATCATTTTAAATAAAACTATTTTATATATTTTTTCGCGTAAAAATCCGAAAAGACAGTTTTATTTAAAATGTATTAGAAGTATTAGAAGATTAATCATTTAAAAAATTTAGAACTAAACTAAACTCAATGATAATTCATTGAGTTTAGTCTATACTTTACCTACTTTTTTAAATTTATCTAACTGATAAGAGGTATATTTGTTACATTTAAATGAAAATATAGGGCATTTGTTTTGAAGCCATTTGTATTTTTATCAACATTTATTTAAATAGAGCAATATATATTTAAACAACAAGTAGGACATTAGTGGGAGATAGTCTTATGACAGATAAAAAACAGTATTTCACGCAAGTATATTTCAAATTAGAAATTTATTTAAAAATATTTTTTCTGAGTACACACATAATAATAAAATTATATTGTATAGCATCTACAATTCTACACTAATATTATAAAGAGTTTGAGTTAGGAGTTCGTAAATTTGTTCGTAGGTTCTTCCTCGTCTCTGGAGCTGCTAAACCGATTTAGATGAAATTTGTAATGAAGATAGTTTGAGATCCTGGGAAGGCAATAGACTAGTTCTAATCCCGGAAATCATCCCGTAGGAGGATGAGAAGTGGGATGAAAGTTTGTATGAGGAATCGATTATTTCTCAAGTAAGAGTTATGAAACTGAATCATACCTATACGTATATGTACTATTATATATAGTCTATCTATTCCATACGAACCGGTAAAACGTATCTAAGGACGAACCCGTGCGTAACGATGATGAATCGCTAGTATACCTATATAATAAATTAAAAAAAAAAGATAAAAAAAATTATTGACGATTATTTTGTGTCTGATATAATTTAAATCAAAAGCACAATCCGGAATTTTATAATGTTTGTCTTTTTTTATAGCATATTTAGAAAGGCTGGACTCGTTTTGACATAACTTTTCTTATAAAATATGTAATCATCCATAATTATATAAAGTTACGTTTTTAATAATCGATTTAGTACATTATAATATATATATATATATATATATATATATATATATATATATATATATATATATATATATACATTTCCAGATAGCGAACTCCCAAGAAAAGCGGGTGATACGTTTAGTGGCAGTACTTAATTAATTCGTCTTCTCAGATCCACAAATATTACGTCAATTACTTAGTACAATCACTGATTGGCTTTAATATCATCTATACTGATAATAAATAATAATATAAAGCTAAATAGATAGGATTTTTATTTCATTGCAATAATCTTTGGAATTACCACACAGACAGGGAAATTCATTTTGCATTTTATCTACAGTCTACGAGTATACATATAATAAAATTTTAACTGAGTCGAATCTGTACATTAAATATTTTTAGGAAAATCTTATTGAAATAGTCATTAATATCGATACAAAGATCGAATCTATAGTTTTTGGAATTTTTGTCTGTCTGTCTGTGAACGCATCACGAGGAAACTACTGGACAGATTTTGATGAAATTCGATGTGATGATAGCTGGTTATCTGGGACAACATATAGGATACTTTTTACTGCAGAAAGATACCTCACCTCTGAGAAATCTATACTATATATAAATTTCGGCAGATAAAGGCTAAATACGTCAGTTATTACAATTACCGATTTGCTTTTTATAGCCTTGTATACATTCAAGGAGCTATAAGCTTTCTAACATCATGTTCATTCATGAAAAACTTAGCGGCTGAAACCGCAGACGAAAGCTAGTATAATGCTGATCTCAGCTGATATTTGCGAGTTTTATTTGCTTTATATGCACGAGCTAAGTACTCTGAGCCAATATTGATTGACTTTAAGCACTGAACATGAGCAACATCCGTTTAGATTGGCAGCATGAGCAAATGTTTTTGAATAACGTATCAGTAAATAACACACGTTGTTCTGGTACAAACTTAATACTCAATGTTAATAGTGTTATTGGTGAGACTTTGTTTATCAAATTGTATAAGTATACATAGTACATACTATGTTTAAGATATAGAAAATACACTAGTATATAATATAAATGCTAATTTGCATGTGTGTTTTTGTTTGATTTTACTTCAGGATAAGGCCTAGAAAGAAAGCTCCTTTAAAATAAACCAGCCAAACCACTCATAATATTAGCGAGTTTTAGCAGACGGACAAACAGAACGACAAACATAGACGACACGTTTGGCTCAGTTTGTAGTAACCCTACTTGCTGTGCCAGTTGTCGCGGGTTCGAGTCCCGCTGGGGGCATTCATTTGTGTGGTGAACACGAATGTTTGTACTCCAGTTATAATACGTATGTATTTAAAAATATATATGTGTAGTATATCAACTATCTGGTATCCATAACACAGGCTTAGTAGCTTACCATGGAACTAGATGGTGCTGTGTGTTAATGTCCCAACATATTTATTAAAAAAAAAAATATTTATTTGGTACTTTAGGCTTCAGTATAATTTTAAATTAATGATCATATAAATAACCATACGAAGTCTACATGGTGTATCTGTTTTAATATAGAAAGGCAGTGGTAGCCCAGTGGTAACCAAACTTAAACTTGAGAAACCAAATGAAAAAGTTTAAATCTCGTGTCTCGCACCTCTAGTATTTTCCATGTGCGATTCATTTTCAACATAATTACCAATTACTAACACAGTGAAAGAAAACTTTATGAGCAAACCTGCAATTTCGAAAGGTTTGTGAAGCCCGCCAACCCACACTTGGCCAGTGTGGTGGACCATGACTTGAGTCCCTAGCATTAAGAGGCCAGTAAATAGCCATGAGACGTTAAAAAAGGGCTGACTGGGTTACACATAGATAATATAAATTTACCTTCAAGTAACGGCTGAGGTTGAGACAACACAGAGTCACGCGAGGCCGCTCGTCTTACAGGCTTGGCCGGCCTCGCTAACGACTTTAGACCGCCACTGAGGATCAGCTCTAACGCTCTCCGACCGCCTGGGCCGTTCGCGCCTGCTCCCATCTGGATAGAAAAAATAAATTTACTAACACACATACATTGACATATTCTTAACTAGTGTTTTCATTACATATTTATAAATAATAGCCTCTGTGTTATTCCGAGGTATAAGCTATATATATTATTACTTAATGATACAAAAACTTTTAGAAAAGTAGATTTTTACAATCGATACGGCTAAGAGAAAGCTAAAGAATATTTGATACTGAAATATTCTGACCACGTGTATGAGCGCTTATAAGAACTTATATATCATTTTGTATTTTTTTGTACTAGCGACTTAATCTCGCTCTTCTCGGGTTCGCTTCTATTATGTTTTAACGTTTAGTATAGATTTCTCAGAGATGAGATATTTTCCCAAAGTAAAAAGGATCCTATATGTTGACCCAGATAACCAGCTATCACCATACCAAATTTCATCAAAATCCCTCCATTGGTTTTTGTGTGGTGCGGTCACAGACAGACAGACAGAAATTCTAAAAACTATAAATTCAGCTTCTATATCCAATGAGATTTTCCAAAAAATATTTAATGTTCATATTCGACTCAGAATATTATTATATGTAAAGATATCAAATATTCGCTTTAGTGAATGAGTAATAAATAATCTTTTAAACCAATACTTTACACTAAAATTATAAGTGTGAAAGTTTATTAAATTTAGTATTTATATGAGATCGCAATAGAGCAACGAATTGACGCAATTTTAGCTCCTTCCAAATAGTAGTTCAGCTGAAATAGTGAAATTAGAACCACAGTTAACAAGTAGGGCAGCCAAATTAAAACCCAACCAGCCATAACCGCGAGCTTTTGCGTATATAACGAACAACAAACCGGCGCGGCGGGGAATTTGTGACAGTAACAAATCAATAACCGAATTGAATAAATAAAACTATCTTTTCGGATTTTTTCGCGAATATATTCTGATTTTTGGTTCCCGACGTTTCCAATGCTTTACAGCAATCATGGTCACGGGAGAGACTGAGACGTTAGATGTCTCTAAGGTATTATATAGTTGTTACAGACAGCCTACCCACAATAACAAAATGAATTCAAAAAATTGAAATTGGGACCAAAGTACCTTACAATATTTCTTAACTTTAAACATTTTTATATAATTTTAATTAGATATATAATTGAATATGGAATATTATTTATTTCATTTGAGCTGTTATTATTATAATTATTACAATTCTAAAAATAATAATAATTAATCTATATTTTTAGTGTTGCCATTATTATATTTATAACCATAAAGAAAAAATCATAATATATTAATTATTTAAGCCACATAATTGATCTATATGTATTTTGAAAAAGTTAAAATTAATTAAAAATAATAATTAAAATTTAAATTTGCTATTATTTAATAAAAAAAACAAATTATTAAGCAACACATTACTACATACATTTACAAAAAATAAGAGATTTTGCATATAGGTACTTCAATACGCAATATACCTACAGAGTATATAATGACAGTATCATACCTAGTACCTACCTATAGAGAAATATGCGTGTGATTTAAATAAAGGTGAAATATTTTTTTTATAATCTTTATTGCTTTTGAATTAAGCCTATATCAATATTTTTTATGTATTTTTTTTTAAACTATCTTTTCGGATTTTGTCGTCAAACCCGCCGTGATCTACGCAGTAACGACCGGTACGTAGAACAAACGTCCCTTAATATAAAGACAGTATTGACACCAAGTGATTTCAATGATTGCATTGAAACTTTAAATAAGCTCGAAACATCTAAATTTAACCAATGCAAAAACAAACATATATTAAAATACCAAAAATTAGTCGAGAAATATAACATTAAAAAGAAAACCAAAAACAATAACGGAACGCGCCCGTCTACCACAGTTTCAAATTCGTGCATACGTCAAGCAGTTGTCAATCTGTCAAAACAAACATTGGACGAATCTACTATTCAAGTACTAAGTAAAGGCTTAAATTTTGCTGTTGCACCGACACGCATCCCTTATGAGAACATTATTTGTGCAGTTGAAGATGCCCTGGCCAAAAATACTATGAAATCTAAGGCTATGGAGGCCATACGTCAAGATGTTTCATCTTTGTTACGTCGTAGTTCAAGGCCCAAACCTAATCTCAACAAACAACAGTATTTAGCGTTGAAGAACTTACGCAGCAGGTCAGACATTATCATACTACGCGCAGACAAGGGAAATGCCACCGTCGTGATGGATACATCAGATTACAATGACACAATTAAACAACTTTTGTCGGATGAAAGTACATATAAAAAGGTCAAAACAGACCCAACCACCACTGTTTTAAATAATACAAAAAAGTTAATTAAGAAACACTCCGACGCATTGAATCTTGATGTTAAAAACCTTATTCCATTTTGTGCAAATCCGCCTAAAATTTATGGTGTTCCAAAGATACACAAGCCCAACGCTCCGCTACGTCCAATTGTAAGTCAAATTGACACACCAACTTATAAATTGGCCCAACTAGTAGCGAAAGTACTCTCAACACTCAGAGGACAAACATCAGCGTTCACAAAGGACTCTTACCATTTTGTTAATGAGATAAAACACCTACAACTCATGGACAATTAAACGATGGTTAGTTTTGACGTACAGTCTCTAATTACCAGCCTGCCAGTAGAGGACTGTGTCAAAATAGTATCAAGGAAGCTATTGGACAATAACATGCAAGAAGAATACACTAAACTTTTGAAACACTGCCTTACATCTGGCTATCTATTGTGGAATGATGAATTCTACAAGCAAGTGGATGGAGTGGCCATGAGATCGCCTGTCTCTCCCGTTGTAGCTGACATCTTCATGGAGGCCTTCGAGGAGACTGCTCTAAGAACATCACCTGTGACCCCTCGTTTCTACAAGCGGTATGTAGATGATACTTTCACAATATTACCATCTGATAAAATCTCTGTATTCTTAGAACATCTTAACTCCATAAACCCTAAAATATAATTTACAATGGAACTGGAGTCTAATAATTCTTTAGCTTTCTTAGATGTATTAGTTATGCGTAACCCAGATAACACCCTGAGTCATACTGTGTATCGAAAAAATACCCATACAGATAGGTACTTGAATGGTGAATCTCACCACCACCCTTCACAGTTAGCTACAGTGGGAAAATCTTTGTTTCAGAGAGCGCGCGGGATCTGTGACGAGCAACACCTGGCCGGAGAACTGCAACATGTCAAGCAAGTTCTGCGAGATAACAAGCTGCAAGTGCCGCGCCTACGTCACAGGGACCGAGTGAAACCAGCCACAGTCGAGCGCGTCCCTGCAGTCTTACCTTACATGAGAGGCGTCACAGACAAGATTGGCTACATTCTAAAGCGAGCTTCAATTAAAACTTACTTCAAGCCGCCAAAGAAAATTAGTCAGTTCTTACCACCTGTCAAGTGCCACATCCCTCTGCAAGATGCAGGAGTTTACAAGCTTGATTGTGATTGTGGGTTCTCTTACATCGGACAAACAAAGCGATCCATTAGAACCCGGGTCAAAGAACACATAGCTGATGTGAAGCACTGTCGCAATACAACATCTGCTGTCTGCAAACATAGCCAGGACCGCCCAAGCCATTATATTCGCTTTGATAGACCTCAAATCCTGGCGAAAGAAAACCGATATCGCCCTAGAATGATTCGATAAGCCATAGAAATTAAAAAACATCCAAATTTCAATAGGGAAGATGGCTGGGTACTACCATCGTCATGGGATCCTGTTATTAATATAATAAAATCAAATAATAAATATAAACATAACAGACAGGTAGATGTAGTAAGTTCTTACTGTGTAGATCAAAATGACAGCTTATCAGATTAATATTTTTCATTTTTCATTTGTAAAAGTATATAGTAATAGTGTTGCTTAGTAAGTTGTGTTTTTAAATAATAGAAAACTAAATTAAAATAATTATTCTTAATGAACTTTAACTTTTTAAATTACACATAGAACAATTATATGGCTTAAATAATTAATACTATATTTTATATTTTTCTTTATGGTTATAAATATAATAATGGCAACACTAAATATAGATTACTAATTAATATTTTAAAATTGTAATAATTATAAAAATAATAGCAAAAATTAAATAAATAATATTCCATATTCAATTATAATTAAAATTATAAAAATAATTAAAGTTAAGAAATATTGTAATGTAATTGGTGCAATTTTCATTTTGTTAATTGTGGGTAGGCTGTCTGTAACAACTATACCTCCAAGACATGTAACACCTCAGTCTCTCCCGTGACCATGGATGCTGTAAAGCATTCGAAACGTCGGGAAACAAAAATGCAAATAAATCCGCGACAAAATCCGAAAAGATAGTTTTATTTAAAATGTCAAATATTCGCGTAAATGTAAGAAAGTATTATATTTTTTTTGATTAATGAAATAATTAATAAGTGCAAATATAGATAGAAAGTAGTTGAGACGCACGCCATCGGTAATCAACCAAATATGACGTCAAAGTATTATCATAACAGAGCGATTAGCGAATTTGTTGTTTTGTGTATATATTGTGACGTCAAGCGCGCATAATGCCGAGCGTTTAAAGTATCCATATCGGCATAATATTTTTTTATTTTTTGGGGCTAAATATTTTTTTTACAATTATATAAGGATGTTAGCTATTATATATGTTAGTTTTTTCCCATTTATATCGCTAGTTTATTTTTTTATTTAAGATTATTTTGATTTATGTACATATTTTAACTAAGAAAATATTAATTAAATATAAAATAAATTAATAACAAGTATATTTTTTTTAAAGTTTTATTAATTACAAATAAGTTATCCTTTATTACAGCAATTATTTAATTTATATAATCAACATTCTATGTGGTTATATTATAAAACATGTAATTGGCGTTTAAGATACGAATAGTTACATGGCGATTATTATACCTGTAACTTTGCGAACGTATTCAAAAAAAAAACATTAATATTAAAAAACATTTTAAAACAAGCTTTCATATCATAT